ATGAAGGTTAATGTTCATGAATTTAAGTGAGACAAGTCAATGTGGCTGCTGGTTTGTCTCTGGCTGCACTGTGCAAGCATAAGCGTCTAGATGAGTTTAATTACATTTGGGGTTTTCTAAAGCAAAAACAATAGCGCACACCGCGAAGCACTGTTACTGTCCTAAGCAAGTACATTATTTTCTTGAACACACATAATCTTCAAAACCCTATGAGGTTGGTACTTTCAGCACTAGTATCCTGCTTTTACAGATGAGGAAACAGCCACATACTGAGTAACTTGCCCAAGGTCACATAGCAAGTGGTACAGCCAATTCTACCTTCCAAAATATATTCCAATTCCACCTACTTCTCTCCATTTCTACTCCTATTACCCTGGTTCAAGGCACAATTGCTTAAAAGTATTGCACAAGCCTCCTAACTGATCCCCCTGCTTTCACTCTTGCCCACCCTCCTATCCATTCTCCATCAGCATCAAAGTAGCCCTAAAAGAAATGTTTCCCCTGCTTATAAAGGCTTTCCATTTTACCTTCAAAAACCCTAGCCTACAAAGCTTTACATACATACTCTGACCCCTTGCCTAACTCTCTAATCTCTTACCCCTCACCTTTGCAGTACAGGTCTTTTTTTGGATTCCCAAAACACACTCAAACTCTTAAAGGTCTTTGCCCTAGCTATTCCCTACAGAAAACACTCTCCTCATCTCTTACTGTTCATGATTATTCAGATCTCAGCTTAAAAGTTACCTTATTCAGAAAGGCCTTACTGGCTAGTCAATTTAAAAGTAGTCACCCAGTCAAACATTATCTCATCTCCTCATCCTATTTCAATTGTCTACACAGCACTTACCATTACCTGGTTCTTTGTTTTTTTGGCTGTTTCATCCCACTAGAATGTACACACCATGACAGCGGGGCCTGACATCTAATGTACCCAACAAATATTTGTTAAATAAATAAATCAACATGCAAACACACTACACTGAGGAGTCACTGACAGTTCACCAGAAGAATGTATTCAATTCATTCAAAAGATCTTTATTGAATGGCTACTGCGCAAAAGCCTGGTGAAAACCATGTCAGATTTCCCAGTTTCTTCCTGTATTTTGTTCTACCAAAATGCCAAGAACCCTTAATTTCACCTCTGTGATACAGTTATTTTAATATGTTTACTACTTAATGCTTTAATAATCTAGGAAACTCCTATAATATGGCACTAAATCTAGCATCACTATATCGAAAATGTAATAAACCACAACAGGAACTACTCACTAGTAAATGACAGCTAGCAAATACTGTATACAGAACAAGTACTAAAGCAGTATTTTATAACAATTACCAACATTATAGAGATAAACCAAAAAGTGAGGTTAATTCTTTGCAGCACACTAAATTTGCTGTTTATAAAAATTAAAACTGCTGTATCTTTAAAGTCTCTTATCAAAAATATCTTATGTATATACAGTTTTAATGGCACATATATAGTAATGAAATCAATTTCAGCTTTTGCATTTAAAGTCTTATCTCGAGTTTACCAGGTTTTTGTGTGTTTTCAGTTATTCAAAGCACATAATCAGTGTCAAGCATTAGCAGATTGAACATTAATTTGTGTAACACATACTCTTTCCTGTCATCATTTCAGTGATGAAATAAAATAATGCACTGTAGTGCAATTATCTCCAAATTTTTATTTTTTAGTCTGCCTTTCTTAATTAATGGCATTAAGTAAAGCAATACAAAAAACTAAGTGACTTTGGATCTGAGCTTAAAAACTGTATTCCATTTCCCTCTAAATGTTCATCACACCAGTTGAAAATTAAAATTTTACAGGAGTAGTGGTCTATGAAAGATATCTCAGAATGCTTTAATATGTATGCTACCTAAATTTCTCCCACAATTTTTAAAGTAAATCTATTTAAAATAGAACACATAATGAAGAAAATCTCTTAGCAATGGTCTCCCCACTCCACACATACCGTCTTTTCATTTTGTTTCCATACTGTTTGAATATCTTTTAAGAAGAGATGCATTACTATTGTAAAAATAAAAAAAACCTTTGTAAAGGTTAACACTAAAGGCAGCGATCATGAATGTACCATGGTAATGGTCAAGTAAATGGTACAGACTGGCTAATAAGTATAAGAAAGTTTTAGTGGTTAAAAGGGGGGAGGACTATCACCTTTCAAAAACTAGAGCAAATAAAAACACCTAAAAAACAATTTTTTTTTCTTTTTCCACTGTGTACATCCCCTACTCTCTAGCCACTGAGCTTCGGTCAATAAGGATCCCGTGAGACCCAGACCATGTCCTAAATGTCCCTGCACTCCTCCAGTCCTGCCAGCAAAGTTCACTAAACGTTTACTTGTTCAACAAATGAATCACTCCCATGATTCCGCTTATATTGCAGTCCTTTCTTCCATTTTTGTTCATGCTCATCTCAAGCTCGCGAGAGTTTCTATAGTGGCTACCTTAAGTTACTTAACTTTCTTAGTTCCTTCCAGGTAAAAATCAAACAAGGACAAACCTTTTGAGCAGTCCAAATACAGGTCTCAGAGGCCAAATCTGTTCATTTTAGATATTGCTATAGGTCTCACTAAAATCTTATCTTTTCTTTACTTTAGATCTATTTCTAATACCCTTGGTTACCCAGTTCTCACAATGAATCAGAAACAGGACACTTAGTGTTGCCCTACATTAATATAATTTACACTGTTTCTTTTCTCACTGGAATTCTAAAGTACTGTATCAAAAATAAATGGAATTTAAAAAGTTGTCTTAAAAAACACTTCTGAAACTTAAAGCCGTAAAAATAAAAACTGACATGTCATTTAATGTGAACGTTCTTAAATGCTTTAATTTCTTGCCCTAGACTACTAGTATTGTTTTTTTTTTCTTTCTATGATAGGGTCTTTACAAAGGTAATAATATTAATAGTATTAGTTTTTGTATTTATATTAATAGCAACAAAGTTATATTTACATAAATAGCAACAAAAGCTGAAGAAGCCACTTCGTAACAATGAGCTTTCTGGAAAATATATTTCTAGAAGTATAACATATTACATTCCCTTGGAAATAAACTGAGAAACCACAAAAACAGTTAAGAATTTATACAATACAGGTAAAGTACTGGTTCTAAGATAATACTGTATGCATAAAGTGCCTAAAGAGTTGTAAACAAGTCTTACAGAACATAAATATTTCAATGGAACTGTAGAAAGAGCCACTGGATAACTTTAATAAACCCACAGATATTCCCTCCCCACCAAAATCCTTTAGGTTTCAATTCTGGAATTATTCTGAGTATCATAAGCTGATAAAGTTACTGTGGCACCAACATTTATTACCACAAAAAACCAAAGTCAAATAGGCATTTCACGCAGATTGTCTGAAATCATTAAACAGACAACCCCATTTTAACTTTTATCCTTCAACTTATTAGTATGTACTACGCCATAAAGAAATATTCAAGAAGAATTTGATTCTATTTGAAGTATCAGTCCACAGGATGTTGTCAATTACTTCTGAGGACACTGAAAAGTTTCTCATGTATAACAGATCTACCGTACCTTTAAAATTTATAGCACAGCATACATCTATCTACATATAATGAAATATTTTGAAATCAAATAATTTTGTGCCACAATTCCCAAAAGGCTGGGAACTCCCCTTGTTCCTTAAAGACGTAGAAAACTTTAGATGATTAAATGAAACAGGTAAAACATAACACTATGTCTTCACTCAAAGGTATCCATTGTTTAAATAATCGATTCCATTTATTGACCACCAACTAAATATGTACCATTTAATCCTCACACAAGGCAGGTATTATCCCTAAGGCACAGAGGATGAAACTAAGAGTTATTTGCCCAAGGTCATAGCAAGTAAGAGCCACACATGGAACTCAGGTCTGTTTAATCAACACCAAGGCCCCTTATCTCCACCCAAAATAAAACTATTTTTTAAAATATAGATGGGCGGAAACTTGCTGGTTTAAACTTAGCATTATGACAACGGTGTATTCCAGAACATAAGCAGTAAATTTACACTCATGGTATTTTTAGATTCTTGGCATAAAGTTGTATTGACTTCAACAGTTTTTCTTTTTGTAGTCACAAATACAGAATAATTTATAACGTAGACTTCTGAAGTGTTTAAGACTTTAACTGAAGAAGGGATTCGAAGTTTTTATGTTCTTTTTTTCCCCTTGAAATGCTAACACACAGGACCCGCTAAATCCGGAGTTGAGTTTGAGCCTGGATTTGAAGGGCTCTAAAGCAAAAATTTTCACCACCAAAGAGGCGTCAAAGTGCAATCTATGCACTATGGGTATGGGTTTGGTGGCGGGAGGACGACAGCAGAACCAGTCAAGATACAGGCAAATAAAAGGGTTAACAAATTCTAAAGGGAAGGGGGCAAAGAATTCATTTTCACCACCACTCACCTCTCTCTCTCGGCGGCAGACGAAACCTGATACTTTTTAAGGCTCATCATCTCGGGTTACCAACTCTTAGACCTCTGCGCCTAACCCGGTCCACACAGGGGTAGTGGCGACGCCTACATCTCCCTCCCCCACCTGTGCAACCACACCAAGAAGCCAGGCTCCACCGCCGAGGCTGCCCGGACCTCCCCTCCCCCTCCGGCCACACTACTGCAAGCTCCCAGACCCAGGCCTCCAGTGCCCCGCGGGCGTGTGCTCCACGCCATCTGCCACCAGGCCTACAGCGTCCAGCCACAGCTTCCCCCTTCTCCTGCCACAAAGCCTGCAGCCAACCCGGGAGGTTCGAGTCCGCCGCACGCCGCCGGGCCGGGTCCCGGGCCCCAGCCCCGCGCTCGCCGCGCCCTCCAGGTGCTCCCGAGGCGCCCCCAACTGGGGCGCACAGCCAGGCCCAGCTCTCCGGCCCGCGCGCAGCGCCCAGGCCCGGCGGGCCCCTCACTTTCCCCGCGGCCCGCACGCGGCCGCCCCCACCCCGCCTCGGGCCCCGCGCTCCCCGCAGCTCATACCGTCTCCTCTGGGTCGATGTCTATTTTGAAGGTCTGCTGCTGGAGGGTCTTCAGGGTGACCTGCATGGTGCCGCCGCGCAGCTCCGCTGCCGGGCCTGCGCCGGGTGCTGGCCGCTAGGCGGGGTCTGTGGCCTGGCGGGGCCCGGGGTCGCCCGCGCTCCTCGCGCTCTGGGGAAGAAGGCGGTGGGGGTGGGGGCTTGTCACATTCGCCCAGCAGAGCAGCCTCTCCCCCAGCCGCCCCGGGCCGCGCCGGTCTCTCCGCGACTGCGGCCTTCCCCGAGAGCTCGGGCCGCCGTGCTTCCTCACGCCCCGGGCGCCGGCCACTGAGTCTGCAGGAGGCGCGAGGGGCTCTGCGAGACAAGCAGAGAATCCGCTAGCTCACCACAGGATGGTGGCCGCCATCATCGTGACTCGCCGAGACGTGCCCCCTCCCCCACCCGAAAAACCTGGGGGATGGGGCCGGGCTGGAGAAGCGCGCAGGCGCAGGGCGCGGGCGAGGCTGAGCGCAAGCGCGGCCCAGAGCTCCGCCCCGGAATTGGGGGCGGGGCGGATTGCGCCTCTGGAATGTCAGCGGCCTGAATCGGGCGTGCGCAGGCGCAGACCGTGGGCGTCGGGGGCTCTCGGGGCTTCCTCGTCTAGTCTCCAGCCCGGGCATTCTCTTCGCGCCGCCGCTCCGCCTACGTCCGACTCCGCCCGGCTGACGAAGTTGCGCAATCTGTAGCCGGGGAAGCGCTACGTGGAGACCCGACTGAGTAGCTGCTGAGTCCTGGAGCTGGGGAGCTAGAGGGCGGTAGGTGGGGCGGAGTTTCAGGGAAAGTTGGTGGTGGTAACCACAGCAATGGGCCTACATTTGAGGGGCCGAGCCTTCGTGGTGTCCCCTGCTTGTTTAATCTGAGAGCACAGACCCCAGCGCCGGACTGTCTGGCTTCGAATTTTGTCTTCTCGCACTAGCCTTGGGACTTTGGGCCCAAACAGGACCGATTTAAAGCGAAGGTCAAGTTATCTCACTCCTCTGGGCAGAAGTGTCGGATGGTCCCCCTCACCCAGCGAAAATCAGAGTTCTTAGAACTAGGTGCGTTAGCGCCTCACCTTTCACCGCGTCGCCTCCCTCTCCCCCTGCGTGCGGTGGTTGCGTGGTATTTATGTGCTCCCGCCTAAGGGCCTTCCTTTGCACTTGCTGATCCGGCAACCTCTCCTTTAAATCTTTGCTCAAATGTAGCCTTCTCTGTTAGGTTTACTGTGGCTGCCCTACTTAAAATCTTAAAACCTATCTATAGGGTTTTTTTCTATTGCATTTATCCCCTTCTAATTAACCATGTAATGTACATGCTTATTATGTTTGTTAAATCTCTCTCCCTTTCCTCCAAACCCGAGACTGAAGCTGCACAAAGGCAAAGATTTTGTTCAGTGATCTTTCTCCAGTACATAAAAAAACATACTTGGCACATTACAGACACACAGTAAATATTTGTGGAAAGGGTGAATGTGCTTCCGGTTCCCCAGCAGTAAAATGGGGATAGTGATGGCACTCAACTTACTGATTATAGGAGGTAGGCGTTGAAAAATATATGTAAAATCTTAGGAGCAGAAACATAATCAATAGCCCATAAACAGTTAGCTATCAGTAGTATGCCCATTTGCAGATGAGAAAATGAAGTACACAGATGTTGAGTAATGTACCTGGAGTCACCCAACTACTAAGTGACAGATCCAGAACAACCCAGGCAGAATGACTCCAGAGCCTGTGTTCCTAGGTGCCCAGCTATTCTGCCTCTAAATAGGGTTCCCTGAGGCACATTGACTTAAAGTGGTTCAAGTGTAAAACCGGTTACTAGAGTTTCAAGTGAAAGGTAAATGAAAAAGAAGAAGAAAAAAAAAAGTCGGTTACCATCAAACCACTACTTCTGTGACCAATTACAAATTATGCCTCAGGTCCAGCATCCTCACTGATACAAAGTCACTGCTTGGTTTTCCATGGATCCTAGGAGCTCATGTATAATTTTTCCATGAAACTCCCTGACCAACCTCCTCCCTCGGCGCTTACCTGGTATTTCCCCTTTCACAGCACATATCTCCCTGCACTGTAATTAAATATATAATCCTCTGCCCTCTGTCTTCCTGTATATCTACTCTTAGTCACCAGGTGATCTCATCTTAGCCCTTGTTTTGAAGTACCTCCAGCTTGAACCACTCCCCATAGCTGTAGATAGAGTTAGCCAATTGCCTAAGCAATATCTTTACTTGAATATATAATAAGCCTCTGAAACTTAATATGGCCAAACAGAATGATTGATTTCTCTCTGGACCTCCCTTCCTCCTGCAGCTGCTCCTCTCTCAGTTTTCTTCATCTTAATTCATGGCTCCACAATCTACCCAGGTGCTCAGACCAGAAATCTAGTCTTCATCCTTAAATAAGTCTCTTTCCTCCCTCATCCACCTACAACGACATCTAATACATCATCAAGTCTTGTCAACTTTATTTTCCAAACTATATCCCCAATTCAGCCATTTTTCACCATTTCTACTTCTACAACTGTAGACTAATCCACCATTATCCTTCACCTGCCTCCCAATTGGTCTCTCCACTTCCACTCTTTTCCCCCAGCAGCCTCTCCAGCAGCCAGAGTGGTCTTTTTAAAGCATAAATCAGAGCATGTCACATCTGTGCTTAATACCTATTTAAATAAAATTCAAACTCTTTACGTGGCCTTAGAGAGCCCACATGATCTGACTCTTGCCAAATTCTCTGACCTCATCTCTCTCCCTCCTTCTCCTGATTCACTGTCATCCCTCTGCACTGGCTTTCTTTCATCCCTCTAACAAGCTTAGCTGGTTCTTGCCTAAGGGCCTTTGCACTTGATGTTCCTTCATCATGAAACTCTTTCCAAATCTCTGAGTGGCTAACTCCTTTTCATCTCCAGGTTCCAAGTCAAATTTTACTTCCTTAGAAAGGACTTCTCCAAAAATTTAACAATATGTGATAAACATATTTTAAGCCTTTTGTCTAAGTAAGGCACTTGCTGTCTTATTCACGACTGTTTCCCCAGCACCTAGAACGGTGCCTGGAACACAGTAGGTCATCAGTAATGTATGTTGACAGACTGCCAACTCATTTGTAAGCTCCATGAGCCCAGGGATTGTGTCAGTCCTGTTCATCATCTTCAGAATCTAGCACAATTTGGATGCCCCATATATGTTGATTGAAAACATGGTAAAGTCACTTTAGTTATAGTTTACAATTTGTAAGAAAATGTGAAAATATTTAAAAAACTGGAGTATGCTATGAAAGTTATGATATTAAAACCTTGCTACAACTATTATTGTTTGCAGAAAAAAGGAAGGGGAAAGATGCCTTTCCGTATATTAGTGTATGCAAAAAAAACACAACAAACCCAATATAGAAAGGGATTGATTGAAAATAAAAGTCCCCCCCCAGAAATAAGCATTGTTTTGATTGTCTTTAAAAACTTTCTAGATATATTACAAGAATATATTCCCCCAAATACAGCTGATACATCACTTAATGATGGGGATATGTTCTGAGAAATGCATTCTTAGGCAATTCCGTAGTTGTGTGAACATCATAGAGTATACTTACACAAGTGGTATAGCCTACCACACAGCTAAGCTATGTGGTATAGCCTATTGCTCCTGGACTGAACCTGTGCAGCATATTACTGTACTGAATACTGTAGGCAATTGTAACATAATGTTAAGTATTAGTGTACTTAAACAGATCTAAACACAGAAAAAGTACAGTAAAAATACAGTATAAAAGATTTAAATAGTGGAACACTTGTATAGAGCACTTACCATGAATGGAGCTTGCAGAACTCGTAGTTGCTCTGGGGAAATCAGTGAGTGAGTAGTGAGTGAATGTGAAAGTCTAGGACATTACTACATACTACTACAGACTTTATAAACACTGTACACTTAGACTGCCCAAATTCATTAAAAATTGTTTTTCTTCAATAATTAGCTTACTGTAACTTTTTTATTTTATAAACTTTTTAATTTTTTTAACTTTTTGATTCTTTTGTAATAACTTAGCTTAAAATACAAATACATTGTATAGATGTACAAAAATATTTTCTTTGTTATTCCATAAGCTTTTTTCTATTTTTAAAATTTTTTTTTTATTTTTTAAACTTTTTTTGTTACAAACTAAAACACAAACATACACACTGGCCTAGGCCTGCGCAAGGTCAGGATTGTCAATGTCACTGTCTCTCACCTCCACATCTTGTCTCACTGGAAGGTCTTACAGGGGAATAACACACATTAAACAAGCAGTCATCTCCTGTGATAACAATGCCTTTTGGAACATCTCCTGAAGGACATGTCTGAGGCTGTTTTACAGTTAGCTTTTTTTTTAAATAAATAGAAGGAGTACACTCTAAAATAACGATAAAAAGTATAGTACATAAATTCATAAACCAGTAACATAATTGTTTATTATCATCAAGTGTTATTAATATGTACTGTACATAATTGTATGTGCTATACTTTTATATGACTGGCAGTGCAGCAAGTGTGTTTACACCAGCATCACTGCAAACATGTGAGTAATGCATTGTGCTGGGATGACATTATGACAAACAACACATCACTAGGCAATAGGAATTTTTCAGCTCCATAATAATCTTATGGAACCATCTCGTGTATGTGATTAGTCATTAACTGAAATGCCACTATGCAGGGCATGACTATAGTTGTGGCAACAGTAGATTTTAAATGCCAATTAATTAAAATATTCACCCAGTATCATTTTCTTTTCTTTTTTTTTTTTTTTTTTTTTCTGAGACAGAGTCTCACTCTGTTGGCCGGGCTAGAGTGTCGTGGCATCAGCCTAGCTCACAGCAACCTCAAAGTCCTGGGCTCAAGGGATCTTCCTGCCTTAGCCACCGAGGTAGCTGGGACTACAGGCACGCGCCACCATGCCTGGCTAATTTTTTCTATTTTTCAGTTGTTTGGCCAATTTCTTTCTATTTTTAGTAGAGACGAGGTCTCGCTCTTGCTCAGGCTGGTCTCGAACTCCTGAGCTCAAACGTTTTGCCCACCTCAGCCTCCCAGATTGATAGGATTACAGGCGTGAGCCACTGCGCCCGGCCCCAATATCATTTTCTAAAGTACAATGTTAAGATAAAATTGTTTTTTAATTTCTAGAAAAACTGCACGCTAGACATACTCACTCTTGACCCAATAGCATATGGTGGACAGACTCTGTGCCTCCTTGTGGGATGTAGTTGTCTGAGTCCAGAGTCCCACAGTTCACATGCTAGATAATGAGACCCCCAACCCACCCCCAGTACAAAAACCACCAAGGTGAGGCCCTTGTCAGTAAGACCTTATAGGCTAGGCCTTGGGCCTCCCTTCTAGAGTTATTGGGCCAGGATAAAAGGATGGGGAGGAAGTCGTTAATTCCAAATGCTTGGCAACATACCAGGAAATTTTGCTTGCATTTTTGGAAATCCGTCAAATAGCTTGGGGGAATAGGATGAGCAAGCGGAGATGCAG